ATTTTTTATATTTTCAGTACGACATAAAACATTTCGTTAAATTAATAACATAAATCAGGTGATATATTTCATTAATTTTTTTTAGAGGTGAAAAAGTAATTTTTCATATATTTTAAATTTTTTTCACTTTTTTATTAGGAAGTAGGTTTGCTATATTCTAATAATATAATATATAATATAAATGATTAGTTTTGATAGCAAATAAAATTTATGCATTTGGTATAAGCAAGGGGGACCTTAGTTCCATGATAGAAAAGACTAAAGTTGGCTATATAGCCATAATTATGAGGAAGCAATATAACTGATTAGACCTTACTGAAATGAACTTGCTACCTGCTGCCCTCTCCAATTAATCCCAAAGTTAAAGTTTTTGCTTTTCAATTATCTTTTCCAAAGGGGAAAAAAAAAACAATTTCATGTTATCTTTTCCAAAGTCTAACGCGATTGTTTTTTTAGTAAAAAAAATCCGATATGTTAAAGACTGTGAGAAATGTTTTCTTCCATTTAAAATTTATATTTTTATTAAATTAAATTATTTAAAATTTAAACTTAAGTTAATATCTTTTCCACCAATAGCGAACTTTTTTTAATATATTTTTGTATTTGAGACTTTCCAATTTTTAATATAACAAGCATGTACATTGATAAATTTATATGTTTATAATATTTATAATGATTATTTTAATTTTATACATTTATAATCAAATTAAATTGTAATGAACGGTGTTTAGAGTTTTTTTTGTGAAATCATTATTTTCGGCTGAGGGGAGTTTGATTGTTTTTTTTAAATATTTCATTGTAATTATTGGTGTTTACTCATATTATAAAATTGATGTTGAAATCATTGATAAGGAGGTCATTCGAATTTTAACTCTACTTATTTTACATGGTTTAAAGGTACGTGGGAGTTGGTTGTTTATTCTCATGATTTTGTACTAGATTGACTTTTGGATGTTTATAATTGATTTAATATTTTAATATTTTTAAACTAAATTTATTATTTTTATATTTATTTTTTAATGACTATATATATATATATGAAATCATTAATAAATGATTTAATGTTTAAATTATAATCATAAGAACAAATATTTAAGATTTAAATTAAATTTATTTTTTGATTTTAAATTGTACCTGTGAGTTCGGTATGTTAAATAAAGTTTTAATTTAATTTTAAATATAATTTCATATATATAATCATTAATAAATAAATATAAAATATTTTAATTGATTAAGTTCTCACTTATCTATTTTTGTTTCTATCATTGACTATAATATATAATATATAATATATAAAAATATTTTAATTGATTCTTAAATATTAGATTTAGCCTATTGGTTAAGGCTTTGCTTGGTTACTAACTAATCTCGAGTTCAAATGCAAGTTATTTTAGTTTTATTTTTCTGTCTACACCTGAACAAGTTATATAACATATGTATTATCTTGATAACAAGTGTGAGAATTGGCTCAACACTTAATTCTAAAATCTAGGTGATTTAATCTATAATTTTAATACATGACTAGAATAAAAGATTTTAAAGTTAATGTTCAAATTAAGGCATTAGACGAATTAAAAACAAAATAGGGTCAAATTGCATTAAATGAAAATCCAAGGAAACAAATCTTATATAAGTAGTGACCAAAATGGAAGAAAACAAAATAGGGTGCCAGCATCATGAATACATAATTTTACAAGGATCCATGGCCTAATTATACCAATTTGTTAATTATCACGTAAACACTTCCGTTAGATGTTAACGACATGTGGCTATATTAAAATCATTAAAATAGTTCAGTGGTTATATTGACGTAAATTTGAAAATAGTGGTCATTTTGCGATCCAACCCTTAGTTATGTGGTCATTTATGTAGTTTACCCTAAAATAAAATGTTATGAACTAAAGTATTTCAAGAAAAAAAAAATTAAAATGATTAACATTATGCTTAAATAAAAATAGCATGTGCATGAGGATGGAAAAAGTCAATGAAGAAAAGCATTTATCTTAGTTGTTGTTTAAGTGGCAATAAATCATGAATAATTTCAACTTCTTTTAAAGATAACACAGCCTTTATTTATGGGACCAATTTTGTGTTAGGTGACCAATTTTGTTGGCTTTGCAGCAAATTCGAGACCATAGTATTCTCACCCAATATGTCAACTAATTGAGGTAAGCTCTCAACCCCATCTTTGCGCCTTTATTATTTAGTTTTAATTATTTTCACTATTTGAAGTGTAACTATCAGTATGCATTAACAATTCAAACATTATTGAATGTTAAATAATGGCTGAACTCACGTAATAATACTGTGAAAAAAATTTATTCACAGCATAATACTCTCCAAGAATTAATTCTTGAGATGGTGCGAATGCTACAGGGGTGAGATTGGTCGCCATGCAGTCGGGGCGAAGCAGGTATTGGTCGCCATGCAGTCGGGGCGAAGAAGTAGGTCGCCATGCAGTCTGTTGAAGGTCGCTATGCACGCTCGGCGTTGTTCTGTATGCACGGTTGGAGGTAGCTGGAAAATAATCATTTACTGGAAACACCCATGGATGATGATTCATATTATACTATTCCCTCAATTTTATATTTGTTCTCATAATGCACATATTTTAAGAAAGTCAACCTTCTTAAGCTTTATCATATCATTATAATTATTTTAACCCATTATATTAAAGTTGTGTGGTTGTAAGAGTATTATATTAAAGTGGGGTTGTAAGAGTATTATATTAAAGTATATAAATATTTATTAAACCCATTAATAATAAAATATTATTATTGTTATTAATAGTTTAACACTTGGGCCACATGTGATATACTGGCTAACGGAAATATTGTTCATTAAACAATCTAAATGGTTCAACGAAAATATTGTTCATTCTAGAGGTCTTAGGTTCGAACAACTGGATCTGTAAGCTGTGTATACGTTATTAATTATTAAGAAAAATTCTAAATCGATGATATATTGTAATTATCATATACTATTTATAAAAAAAATAATATTTTAAAATATATTATTAAAATACAATATACAACACATAATATAATTAACTATTGATTTTACGAACCCTAAACCCTAAAATATTTTTATTGTTGCTGAAAACCTTTATAAATTCATGGTATGTTGAGGGAAATGAAAGTGGTAGAGGATGGTGATATCTACCATGATGGTGGTTACAAATTTGTTTTTTATAAGAAGAAATTGTTTGGATGGAGAATTGTTAGGGTTTAGGGTTTAAAGTCTAGGGTTTAGGGTTTTTAGCAACAACCAAAATATTTTAAGGTTTAAGATTTATGGTTCACAAAATCAATAGTTACTTATATTATTTTTTGTATATTGATTTTACGAACCTTAAACCCTAAATATTTTTTGTTGTTACTGAAAACCTTTATATATCTATAGTATGTTGAGGGCAATGAAAGGGGTAAAGGATGGTGATATCTACCATGATGGTGGTTACAGATTTGTTTTCACACCGGACTGTGAAAAAAATTTATTCACATCATAATACTCTCCAAGAATTAATTCTTGAGATGGTGCGAATGCTACAGGTTTAAGGTTTTCAGCAATAACCAAAATATTTTAGGGTTTAGGGTTCGTAAAATCAATAGTTACTTATATTATTTGTTGTATATTGTATTTTAATAATATATTTTAAAATATTATTTTTTTATAAATAGTATAGGATAATTACAATATATCATCGATTTAGAATTTTTCTTAATAATTAATAACGTACACACAGCTTACAGATCCAGTTGTTCGAACCTAAGACCTCTAGAATGAACAATACTTTCGTTGAACCATTTAGATTGTTTAGTGAACAATATTTCCGTTAGCCAGTATATCACATGTGGCCCAAGTGTTAAACTATTAATAACAATAATAATATTTTATTATTAATGGGTTTAATAAATATTTATATACTTTAATATAATACTCTTACAACCCCACTTTAATATAATACTCTTACAACCACACAACTTTAATATAATGGGTTAAAATAATTATAATGATATGATAAAGCTTAAGAAGGTTGACTTTCTTAAAATATGTGCATTATGAGAACAAATATAAAATTGAGGAATAGTATAATATGAATCATCATCCATGGGTGTTTCCAGTAAATGATTATTTTCCAGCTACCTCCAACCGTGCATGCAGAACAACGCCGAGCGTGCATGGCGACCTTCAACAGACTGCATGGCGACCTACTTCTTCGCCCCGACTGCATGGCGACCAATACCTGCTTCGCTCCGACTGCATGGAGACCAATCTCACCCCTGTAGCATTCGCACCATCTCAAGAATTAATTCTTGGAGAGTATTATGCTGTGAATAAATTTTTTTCACAGTATTATTACGTGAGTTCAGCCGTTAAATAATGATCACCAATGTAGCAACTTTTTGGCCATTAATGGGGAAAATTTTATAAAGGAAAGTATAGGGATCATCTAGTAATTTTTTTTCAAATCAATTGAGTTGATAAGCTTCATTTTATAAGTTAACTTTTATTTGAAATTTTTTAGTTAAGTATTTTAATTTTTTCGAGTTTATATTTAAATTTAAGGGTAAAGTATAGTAATGGTCACTGAACATTTTTGAAGCTTGCATTTAGGTCCTCTAACTTTTAAAATTTGCAATACAGTCCTCTAATATTTATTCTGTTTGCAATATGGTCCCCCAACTTAAACCACGTTAGAAAATTAGGGTAAATTATATAAATGGTAATTGAACCTTTCAGGCACTTGAATTTAGGTCCCCCAACTTTTAAAACTTGCAAATCAGTCCTCAATTTCATTCTAAATCCCAAATTCCAAAGTAATTCAATTTCATTCTAAACCCTAAATGAACCATGTTTTCCTTGTATCTGTTATTCATTCCCTGGATTTGTTTTCCTGTCTTTGAAAACTGAAGTCCTTGACAGACATATCATATATTCTTTTTTCTCATGTTTCTCACTACATTTAGCACAAGAAAATTGTATGAAGCTTGCGGTAAATGGCACTCGGGATGGTGGGGGCTGAAGTGTTCCCTATTGGTCGTATCAATGGTGGTTTCATTCTTCGTTCCTCCAGGTTTTATTCATATGTATGGTATGTTTGCTTTGTGAACCAAATCTAAGAGCTTGAAATGCTATGCTAATGACTATTATGAACAAAACCAGAGCTCAACTTAAACAATTACATCATTATGAGTTATATCAATTACAAACTACAGAAAATGTATTTCTTTTCCCATTTAACTTTTGGTTTTTCATGGTACCATGAATTCAGGAGTTTATTTTCTCTTCTTGCAGGAGAAGTTGCTCGCATCGGTGCAAGGTATGCTTTATACTTCTCAGTTCCCACCTTTAATTTAACATCTTTTCGTTTCTGAAATCACCCTCAACAGAATTCTTGTGTTTGCATCATGGTGCTCATTGTAATCTAATGTTACAACCATTTAATATTCAATGGACTTGCAGCAAAATATATACCAAACAGAATCAAAGTTTCACAGCAAAACTGGCTGAACTCATTACTTGCATGAAGATTATTGTTTTATTTTCGGTCTCTTGATTAAATATGTAGTTTTGTGCTCATATGATACAGGGTTTTTCTCCTTCTGCAACTTGTAAGCGTGATCGAGTTTATCAGATGGTGGAATAAATACTGGGCACCTGATGAGCAAAGCAAAAAAAGGTAGTGTTTTTGGAACTTTTCATTTTCTTAAAAATGATGTAATTATTTGCTGACAAATCACTATCTTCTTTTCATTCAGCATCTGCTCCATTGCATTATTTACCTCGACGGTTTTTTACGTCGCTTCCATCTACGGAATTGTGTCTATGTACTATTTTTATGCCCCTAAAGGATCATGTTCTCTCAACATATTCTTCATTACATGGACTTTTATTCTGGTCATAGTGATGATGGCTATGTCCTTGCATTCAAAGGTATGCTCCTCAAGGAATCAATTTCTTTGATTGCGAGTATTTTCCTGCACTTTTTCTAATGATACAGACAATACAATCTCTGTCGAGAAAGGGGAAGAAATAACTAGCATAGATGTGATCCTTGTCATGTAACAAATATGGCAATGTCTTAACTCATTACCGTGATGTTTTGGCTTTACTTCTTTGTTAATTGTTATAGCATGGATCATCATTGACTACCTATGCTTATATGAATGCGATTCTGTTCACCTGCTGGTTAATCGATTCTTTTCATCTAAAGTGATTTGATACAAAGAGGACAACCATTTCATTCAATGCAGGTTAATCGAGGTCTTTTATCTTCAGGAATTATGGCCGCTTATGTTGTTTTCCTCTGTTGGTCTGCTGTTAGAAGGTTAGGAATTTCTTACTGGGTGCATTGAACTGAGTTTAAGCTCGCGCGTTATTGCAGTTCCTGTTTTTGATGGACATAGGTTCACTTTATATGCTTCAAGCTTCACATAATATGCATCTCTGTTGAACAAAATTTTGGTCAAGTTTTATGCTATGCATTAATAAGTTGGTCTAAAGATGATTTTCCGTGCTTCAATAATTTGGTTCACAAAGCAAACATACCATACATATGAATAAAACCCAGAGGAACGAAGAATGAAACCACAATCGATACGACCAATAGGGAACACTTCAGCCCCCACCATCCCGAGTGCCATTTACCGCAAGCTTCATACAATTTTCTTGTGCTAAATGTAGTGAGAAACATGAGAAAAAAGAATATCTGATCTGTCAAGGACTTCAGTTTTCAAAGACAGGAAAACAAATCCAGGGAATGAATAACATATACAAGGAAAACATGGTTCATTTAGGGTTTATAATGAAATTGAATTACTTTGGAATTTGGGGTTTAGAATGAAATTGAGGACTGATTTGCAAGTTTTAAAAGTTGGGGGACCTAAATTCAAGTGCCTGAAAAGTTCAATTACCATTTATATAATTTACCCTAATTTTCTTTTGTGGTTTAAGTTGGGGGACCATATTGCAAACGGAATAAATATTGAGGGACTGTATTGCAAGATTTAAAAGTTGGGGGACCTAAATGCAAACTTCAGAAATGTTCAGTGACCATTACTATACTTTACCCTAAATTTAATTATAAATATTTGTAACTTATAGTAATAACTAATTCCAATTTAAACGAACCATATACAATATTTATATATATTTTTTCAAAAAAAAATTCATATGTGGTATACATATATTGTGTAGAGTTAAGTGACTCAACTCAAACTTGAAAATCAATCTACTAATTATTAAAAAATTTGAGTAATTCAATTATTATTTTATAAATCAAGTTTTATTTAAATGTATTCCGAGTTGAGTCGAGTTTGTGAAATTTCGAGTTAATTCAAATCAAATCAAGTTTTTTAACGTTTAGGCAGGAAAAAAATTTTGGACTTTTTAAAATTGAATCGAACAGTAAGTAAAGAGAAAGAATTTGATGCTATTTTCCCTCGTACAGCCAATAACCAATGAACACTTAGCGGTTAACAATTTGATTCTATTTTTCGTCCTTTTGCTGCCGACCAATGAATAGAAAACTCGATTCCTAGCATTAAAGTGAATTGTGGAATGGGAAATTTTCCAATCTAAGTAGAGTTCGGAATAAGGAAAATTTTCACATGCATATAATAAAATTTAAATATAATGTCTTGTTATATTCTTTTCCCACTTCTTCATCAGCTCGATGTCAAATGGAATAATCCACTGCAAAATTCCAAACGATTTTGGTTAAGGATATAATAAATATCTTAAAATTCAAGAAAAAATATGTTTGTTGTTTAGCAGGTAAAACGACTGCACCCCATTCATCCTTTTCCAATCGTGTCATCAATTTTTTTTTTACTTTTTTTCCTTTTTTCAGGTGTCATAAACTTTTGCTTTTCCAATTAATGAAAGCCTTACAGTCTTGAGTAAAAAGAATTTATGTTTCTTGAATGCAAATATATGAGGTATCGGTTGTAGGGTCATCCTACTCCTACATGAAGTTAGTAATGTGTGACATCAAGGTCTGTCAGATAAAGTAAACCCTACCAACTGCACTTTCTCAGCTCACCCTTTGATGAACTTCAACTTCATCCAGCCATGGTGGAATCATTGGACAAACTTATTTCAAATATCATTTGTCTTGATGTGTTTTTGTTATATCTTCGAATATCATCTCTAAAACTTATTAGTTTTATGTAAGTTGGGACTTTCAAATTTATATAGTCTCTTTCACGTATTGAAATTTTTAAGAAATTTATATCCTTCAAACACATAAACATTATAGTTTTTGAATAAGCTATAGCACATAGACAAAATCTATGATATATTTATATGATCTATTAGAATAAAATTCAAGATAAGACAAATAAATTTATTTAGCATGGTGACTTACAATCAATCAAAATTATCATATGCAAGATACCATCAGCTAGAGTCACTATAAATACATCTTAATCACGACCGACAGAAAGATCATCTCCACTATTTTCTTCTTTTTCCACACTCTTATCTTTCCTCTTATGCTTTCATATCTATCTCATAAGAAAACAACAGTCAACGATCGTTACTTTACCGATTACAGCTCTCCATCTAAATCAATAGGAATGAATCATTAATAACCAACGAAATCAAAATTGTTACCATCAATAATTTTAATCTTAGACATTGATTTTGACTTTTGCATTTAAAGATATAAAAATCCACTTACTTATATATATATAAATATATATATATATAGATGATTAAATTTATTGATTTCAATATTAATTCAAAAATTAAATTCGATAAATTTATATTAAAATTTGACCTAATTCAACATGATCATAATACGTTCATGTAATTTGTACAACAAATATAGGATATAACTATAGGGACATGGTGCCTAGCTAGGCCTGCATGTGTTCTTAAGACCTTTAAACTGATGTGCCATCACTTCAACCATTGAATTAATTAACCTCCCAAATCCCAGTTTTGCTATTAATAATAATTATAATGCCTTAAAATTACTTTGAAGATATCAGTCAAATAACCATTTCTTTTCTCTAACCTCCCAAAGTTGTTTTTGTACTTTTCTTTCCTTTACTTAATTTTTGGGTGCGTGGGTCAAGTTGTGCATCATCTCCAGGCTGATATATAACATAGTCAAAATTGCAGCAGAAAGGAAAAGCATTATGATATCAATATGGCTACTTTAACTTTGGATAAGTTTCCTTTCCATTGATTTCTCTAATGCAAATTCAATATATTATAATATATATATCAAATGTAGAAAAGCTATATGAAAAAAGTTGTAAGACCACATATGTATATGTGTATGTGTATACATATATAACTTCAGAATTAAATCTCCCTTGCTCATCTTTGGCAGCTTTTTCTTCTAAAGTAAATATGCAGCCTTCTGCACAATGAATTGCGCAGCAAGTTTGAAAGCTGTATTATGAAACTTTATTTATTGAAACTACATATCGTGTGATTCATGTCAAAGAAACAAACAAAAGGAGTGAAGGGGAAGCTGGCCAATGCATGTCTTTTCAAATTATGGAATTCTGTTGATGGCCCGGACTTAAAATGAACAAGACTGTGTTCGTGTTCGAACATAAATTCACCATAGAAAAACAAGTTTTTAACGGAACTTTTATATCAGACGTTGTCAATTTTTTACATGTCGTGACATTTACGGAAAAAATGCCACAAAATAGAAACATTGACACTAATGTTATACGAACGGTTCATAAACAATTTATCGAACACTCTGTTCATTTACAACTCTATCCAGGTAAAGCATCAAATAACTTGGAACAAATTCAAACGTTCAGCTAAAGTCACCCTAGGTAGGCTAAAATTAGACTTACTTTTGTTTTCTTCTTCAGAGAAACGTATGTATACAGAAATCCAGTTTCAAGGCTCAACGCATGTAAAGGTAAAGAGAGTTCGAGTGATAAAAGTTGGATAATAATATAATTAATCATACGTAAGACAACCCAACAACTTGTATACACACACACACATATATATATATATAGAGTGAGTGAGAAAAAGGGTTAGAAAATGGAGAAAAAAACATATAAAGAAACCTGTAGTCTAAAGGCATGTAAAAGTTGAAGGTTTTATAATTCTGAAGATGAATCGTTTCCGTACGCCGCCGCAAATGCTTTTTTTATACAATATCTTTGATGTATGATTGATGGAAAATAATGTTATTCTCTCATTATTCATACCAATCAAATTCAGTGTAGTGTTTGTTTAAATGGAAAAGTAAATAATCTCTGCAATTTCTTAGATACTAAGTTCTGATTAATTTTGCTGTGAAATGTTGACAAACTATACAATTAGCTTACACTATAAATGCTGATAAACCGTTTTTGGAGAGAGAACAGCCTTGATTTGATATATTAATAACATGTAGCTTGAACCAACAATTAATTGACCTAGTAGGATTAGATATTAGATTCTTAAAACAATGTCAGAAGTTCGTCTAGGATTAAATACTAGAATAAAGTTAACTGATTGAGAGGATTACTGGATCTTGTAAAACCTAATTCAAAATAATTAATCAATAGATATGATACCGATAGTTAAAATATAAAGACATGGTAAGATGAAAATTATAGCTCATGCAATTGTGGAAGATGACAAGTAACAAGACAGAAACTTTACTTCTGAAAACCAAGGGAACCAAAAGGCATTGCTGTTTTAGTTCTGAACTCCATTCTCAATAATTCAAGAAAACCCTGTCATAAAAATGAAGAAAACAAGGTACCTTTGCACGTTCCATAACAATGACTTCCACCTACCATCTCATCTTTTCATAATGCTTTTGTTTTTTTTGTTTTTTTGGCATGATGACAAAATTAGTTTTCATGTTTACTTAAATGATTATTTTGCCTCTTTTTCTTATTTTTGAAATAATTTAACTCTTAACTAATATACACAATTGCTTGAACTCACTATCTCTAGAGAGACAACACTTCCTTTACTATTGAGACCGCTTAATGGATTCTTACTAAAGAGATGAAATTTTTTCTCTAGTTTGTTCTTTTATAATATGACAAAATGAAGAGAATTTTTTTCAGTGGAAACATAATTTGAATGTTTTTGAAAGCAGTCTATAATCCTTAGAAGGAACTCATCAATGGAAATTAAAAGATATTCTTAAAACATTTAAATCGAGAATTGGCACAATAACTGAAGAGAAAGGAAAATGACAGATTGTGAGATGAAGGCAACTGGTCCTTTTTCTTCAACGAAATCACTTTCATAATAAAAAAACAAATCACGACAGTTCCACCTGCCTGCTGTCTGTGTAAATTAGATGAAAGGTCCCTTTCACCAACCGAGAAAATATAAATAAAAACACAAATCACCAAGGGGCCAAAGGTCC